TGCTCAAGGTAATCTCCAATCCCAATTGACCAGGACACGGCAGCTCCCGTAGGAAGCGAAACTTACGCAATACTTGGAGGCCCGTCGTGTTGCACAGCACGTAATCGATCTGCGACGTGTTGCCCTCCGCGGTGGTTCTGTCCTAATCTTTGTCACGGCCATATGTCGTCTTGAACTCATCAGGTGATCGTGCCGCCGTATTATGTTCCTCACCTCCTGGAATTGCCCATGCCAAGGTAGCCGATTCACTCCAGTGTATCTGCGCATCCATGCATATGTAGTAGGGCGCTGCTCCTCTAGCCGCTGCAGCTTGGAGGGCCAGCTTGAACAATACCTCATTATCGGAGACCGATTTGCCATAGAGCGTTGCTATAGAATAGCCCTTGCCACCAGTGATGGGTAGGAAGGCCTCCGTCCATCTCTGGGTGTCGTACAGGGTGGTGGTCTGGAAGTCGGTGGGCTTCGTCTTGCCAGAACAGTCAAGCCCTGCGCTCGAACGGCGCATTGGCAAATAAAAAGTTTGCACAGCGCACTGTCGCCGGTCAGCTGATGCGATGCGAAATTCAGTGAAGTCCACCTGTGAGGACAAGCGGGGAGGAGGAGGGGGAGGAGGAGGAGGAGGGGCGAGGGGAGGAGGGAGAAGGTGCCAGTGGCACAGATGCCCACTCCGCCGTTCTTAGCTGCACGACTGCAGACCACGTGCTCGTGTGCGCCCGGCGAGGGGGCCTTGGCGAAGAGCTTCGGCGGTGGGCCTTGGCCCCATACTTACCAGCCTCGAACGCATCCCTACCCCTAAGAGTGACACGCCAAAAGGCGATGACCATCTTGGGGATTCGCCCTCGAAAAATAAGGGGATCCCCAAGATTGGCATCGTGGCGAGGAGGTGCCCAGCATAGGGACAGGGATGTGTTCCAGGCTGGTAACATACTGCCTGCCATCCCAAGGTGCGGAGCCGCCGGTCGTAAGCAGTCTTCTGCGCGTTCGTGTGCCTCGTCTCCTGCAAGGCGGCCGCCTCAATACTTCTGTCCGACAGTTCGTCGATCAGACCCCAGTGAGCCCCCAGTGCTGTAGTATTGAGCGGTCGAACCTTGTGCTGATCTTCTCGTTGAGGTCCGTCGCCCTGGACAGTGTCGGCATGCTCGCGCAGCAGACCAGCCTTCAGTGCAAGGGCCATCTTTGGTGTCAAGCATCGCATGGCCATCCAGAGTCGTCTGTTGGATGATGTAGTGGTTCGATTCTTGCCATAGAAGCCGCGTCGCTTGGAGCTGAGGGTTTGACAGTCGTCCCGCACGCTGACCACCTGCCTGCTGTTCATAGTGCTCATCGTAGCCGTCGCCTGCACAGAGTGGCTCTGGCCCTAATCGCCAGAGCAGTACTGTGGAAGCATTGAGGCTGTCCCCACGGTGGCAGTGTCTGCAGGTTGGTTCAGTCTGGTATAGCATGCGTCCCACACGTCTGAGTACCTCCAAGAGCCCATCTGATCCGAGTCGGCGTTTGCATTCCAGCTGGCATGCCAACCCACCCACCTCAATAGGTGTCCACGGTGATGATATCGCAGCCTGATGCAGGTCAGAATTGTGGCACTGCGTTGTGCAGTACGTGTAGCTCCCTGTGTCGCTGCAGTCCTGCATGCCTGTGGCCTGGCGTGCCGATGTTCGTCCGCGGCCTCTCGCCTCGGCTTCCCAACAGACGCTCGGACAGCGCTTTCCCGAGACGGCTTCGTGATGCACCTGGCCGCTCTCTGCATTGCTCCATTGCTCGGACAGCGCTTCCTTGGGCACCCCTAGCGGGGGCCTTCGCCCTTCCTCGGAGTCTTTTCGTCAGGGGCATCTTCTGCTTCCGTCGCCGGCTTCTTCGCGCCAAGCCTCTTCGTGGTGGCTTCGATGCCCACATTCAGTCCATCGAGGCCCTCCAGCTTGGTGGCCGCCGCCGATACGTCCTGGCCCTGCCGCTGGACAGTGTGCGTGAGCGCCATGAGCTGGGTGTTCGCGTACTCCCTGGCCTGCTGCTGGGCATGGATGCGCTGGGCCTGCTCCTGCATCTGCTTGTTGAGGTCGGCGAAGTTCCGTTCGTGGTTGCTGAGGCAGTCGCTGGCCTGCTGTGGGAGGGCCGCTGTGATGGTGGGGCCGTCTGCCTGCATGGGCGTGGCCGTCTGCTGGTCCTGAGCACCACGTGAGGCTGGTGTGTGAGCCGCTGGCGCCGCGACGCCGCTTGTGTGGGTCGGAGGCTGTCCAGCCACGGGCGTCCACCCGCTGCCTGTGTCGGCGCCACCGCGGTTGCCTTTGGCTCTGTCGATGGAGTCGGTGTCGTCGGTGGTGTCGCCTTGATCTTTGCCGTGGCCAGTTCTTCGTCCAGCACTATCGTAGGCGGCGTGTCGTCCAATGCGGACTTCGGCCTCTCCATCAGCGCCGTCACCACCCATGGCTGTACGGCTGTCCCGACTTGCCAGCACGCTGTCGGCGGGGGGGGGGCGTCCGCTTTTGCGATGGCGTAGTAGCTGCTCTCGCGGTTGTCCTAGGCGACGTTCAGCACGTCACAGCTCCAGTGGAGGTTCTCGGCGACTTTTTTTGACTTGTCCCTTGGGTGCCATGTTCGCTTGATGTGATCGATTCGGACCCGCTGCCTCGCCAGGCTGGCAGTGGTGCCGCGGACCTCGATCGCCAGCTCCTGTGCCTTGGCTGGTGTGCGTGTCATGTGGGTACCCACTGAACGACGGTCGCTGCGCATAGCTCCATAGTGGCCGTCGTAATTGCAGGCGATCTCGTAGGCTTCATGTAGTTCGCCGTGGAGAAGGGGGGTCACCACGAGCGTGTCATTCTTACCTCGGCCTGCTTCGGGTTGCCAATATACGTGTTCGCGAAGGTGATACCCTTATAGCCACCACAACAGTGCCAGAGAGTGTGCGTCCTCCTCATGTAGCCGTGACCGCCTCCTGGGATCCCTTGTGTGTCATGCGCGTCGGTGGCTTCAGTAGTTGCGCCCCTTGCTTGGTTGTCTTGATGGTCTTCTCGAAGCGTCGCGCAGGGTTTCGTCCAAAGCGAACTTCGCCTCCGACGTATCCCCTCCGAGTCGGTCGAATTGTCCTCGCTGCGTCAGGGTCTGGGCTGCCCTCATGAACTGCGCTTCGAAGAGCTGGCTGATACTCGGTTTGGCGTGCATGATGATATTGAAGATGATTATGTTGCTGGTTACGATGATGATGATGCTGATCATGATGATGACTATGCTGATGATGCTGATGATGCTGTTCATGATGATGATGCTGATGATCATGATGATGATGATGATGCTGATGATGATGATGATGATGCTGATGACGCTGATGATGATCTTGTTGATGATGATGGCTACGATGGAGATGCTGATGATGACGCTGACAATGACGATGTTGCTGGTGATGCTGATCATGATGCTGATGCTGAAGATGATGCTGTTGCTGAGTATGATGATGACGATGCTGATGATGCTGATCATGAGGATGGTGATGCTTACGCTGATGCTGGTGCTGCTCATGATGATGCTGATGCTGATGATGCTTGTGATGCTGATCATGGTGCGTCGGATACTGATGATGATTATGATGATGCTGCTGACGATGAGAATGATGGAGATGCTAATGCGGCTGATGCTGATGCTGCTGCTGCTGACGACGATGATGTTGATGATGATGATGACGATTCTGATTATGCTGCTGTTGATGGTGATGCCAATTATGATGATGCTGATGATGCTGCAGGTGCTGACGATTCTAATGGTGGCAGCGGTGGTGGTGGTGGTGTTGCTGATGGCCCTGAGGAGGCTGATGATGATGACGACGATGTCGATGACGATGACGATGACGATCACGATGGTGATGGGTTTGACGATGACGACGATGACGACGATGACGACGACGACGACGACGATGATGATGGTGATGATGGTGATGATGATGATGATGATGATGTTGCTGATTATCATGATCAGATCGATGCCGCTGCTGATGATGACGATGCCGATGATGATGATGGTGATGATGCTGCTGATGATGATGACGGTGATGATGATGATGCTGCTGATGATGATGATGATGATGATGATGATGATGGTGATGGTGATGGTGATGCTGATGGTGATGGTGATGGTGATGGTGGTGATGATGCTGCTGATGATGATGATGATGCTGCGGCTGCTGATACTGATGCTGCTGATGATTGACGATGCTTACAATGGAAGTGATGAGGATGATGATGGTGATGACGATGACGATGACGATGGTGATGGTGATGATGATCATGATCACGATTGTGATGATGATGATGATGATGCTGTTGCTGAGTATGATGATTATGCCGATGATGATGATGATGATGATGATCCTGATGATGCTGATGCTGATGATGCTGCTGATGTTGATGATGATGATGATAATGATGATGATGATGATGATGATGATGAGGTTGATGATGGTGATTGCGATACTGGTGCTGATGATGACAACGATGATGCTTATGCTTTATGATGATGCTGCTGATGATGGTGACGAGGATGATGGTGCTGATGACGTTGATGATGGTGATGATGATGATGATGATGATGATGATGATGATGATGATGATGGTGCTGATGATAATGCTGCTGATGATGATGTTTCTGGTTGTGCTGCTGCAGCTACTGGTTATGATGGCGATACAAATAATTGGGGGAATGAGGAATGACGATGTGGACGCAGATGATGAAATATTTGGTGGCAGGGGAGAATTGCAAAAGAAGACGGGCATGGATGGAGTAGGAAACAGTTGAGCTCGCAGAGTCGAGGAGGCTTGGCTCCCGCCTCGATCTTCCCCCAACCGCTGCTCGTCCGCCCCATCCTCCCTACTGCATTCACCTGAAGAGTTGCCAATCGCGCACTCTTCCGCCCACGCGTCCTGCCGGATGCACATGGCTCAGTGGTGGTGGTGGGCCCCTCCAGCAGCGCCAGTTCCGCTCTCCCCTCCGCTCGTCCCGCCGCCTGCCGCCAGGGCCGTGCAGAGCGACGCCCCGCAGCCGGCTGGGCCAGGCCCGCCCGCCGAGGGAGAGGCCCGCTCAAGGAGAGCTCCGCCTGCCGCCGCTGCGGGCTCCTCGCCCCCCCTTCCCCCCCGTTTTACTTGGAGGAGGGAGGAGGAGGAGGAGGAGGAGGAGGAGGAGGAGGAGGAGGAGGAGGAGGAGGAGGAGGAGGAGGAGGAGGAAAAGGAGGAGGAAAAGGAGGAGGAGGAGGAGGAGGAGAAGGAGGAGGAGGAGGAGGAGGAGGAGGAGGAGGGAGGCGGAGGCGGAGGCGGAGGCGGAGGCGGAGGCGGAGGCGGGGGCGGAGGCGGAGGCGGAGGCGGAGGCGGAGGCGGAGGCGGAGGCGGAGGCGGAGGCGGAGGCGGAGGCGGAGGAGGAGGCGGAAGGCGGAGGCGGAGGCTGCGGAGCAGGCGCAGGCGCAGGCGCAGGCGCAGGCGCAGGCGCAGGGCGCAGGCGCAGGCGCAGGCGCAGGCGCAGGCGCAGGCGCAGGCGCAGGCGCAGGCGCAGGCGCAGGCGCAGGCGCAGGCGCAGCGCAGGCGCAGGCGCAGGCGCAGGCGCAGGCGCAGGCGCAGGCGCAGGCGCAGGCGCAGGCGCAGGCGCAGGCGCAGGCGCAGGGCGGCGCAGGCGGAGCGGAGGCGGAGGCGAGGCGGAGGCGGAGGCGGAGGCGGAGGCGAGGCGGAGGCGGAGGCGGAGGTGGAGGCGGAGGCGGAGGCGGAGGCGGAGGCGGAGGCGGAGGCGGAGGCGGAGGCGGAGGCGGAGGAGGAGGAGGGGAGGAGGAGGGAGGAGGGTGGAGGGTGGAGGAGGAGGAGGAGGAGGAGGAGGAGGAGGAGGAGGAGGAGGAGGAGGAGCAGGAGGAAAAGGAAGGGGAAGGAGGAATGAAAGTAGGTAGGGGGAGGAAGAGGAGGAGGAGGAAGAGGAGGAGGAGGAGGAAGAGGTGGAGGAGGTTGAGGAGGGAGCAAGAGGAAAAGGAAGGGGAAGGAGGAATGAGAAGGAGGAAGGGGGAGGAAGAGGAGGAGGAGGGAAGAGGAGGAGGAGGAGGAGGAGGAGGAGGTGGAGGAGGAGGAGGAGGTGTCCAGGTGACGCTGCATACCTCCTGTGCTGTTTTTGCAGCCTCATAGCTCTGCGTTAACGGTGCTCCCGAGACCAATGGGAGACCAACAGGAGGAGGGGTTGGAGGAGGAGGAGGAGGAGGCGGAGGAGGAGGAGGCGGATATTCAAGATTTGCTAAGATTTGTCAACCATTTTGCAATCAACCCTCCCAGCCAGCTCCCACTTCAGGCATCCGTGATCCTGTGCATTTCGATGGCACGGCTGGTCCTGATACTGTAGTGGCCTCCGTCCCGTGCCGCCGATCCGGGGCGCTCCCGATGCGGATGGCAATGGACGGCCGTGTATGATGAAGGTACAGCCCTCGTTCGAGACGTTCTCATAAGACGAACATGTAGAAATTGGTTGCGAAACCTGTGGATCTTGGAAAATGACGCTCTCGCGTAAGTCACCATTAAAACCATGAAACGCTGAAATAGCTGATGCACGCCATCTTTGGGGGGGCGCTCTTGGAGGACCCCCAACATGTTTGAATAAGTGAACTTATTGAAGATCCACTTGTTTTGCCACATGGTGTTTCACACGTAAGCGTTTTGGGCGAGTTTGGAGGCAGTCGTTTGCCTTTTTTGGGGGGGCATCTTGGATGCATCTGGAGGCCTCTTGGGTGACGTCTTGGAGGCAGTTCTTGAGTTCCTTGGGGGTCTTTGGGGACCCTATTGCGGGCCTCTTTGGGGCCAGCTGGAGCCTCTTGAGGCCTCTTTGGGGCCTCTGGAGGCTTCGGCCGTCGTGAACTTTTCTGTGGCCGTCTTGGAGCCTTCTTGGGCGCCCCTTGGGCCCTCTTGGGGCTGTCTTGGGCTGCCTTTGGCTGTCTTGGGGCCCTTGTTGGCCGTCTTCGGGCCCTCTTCGGCCGTCTTGGAAACTGTGAAGGCCCAAGTGCCGACTACGCTCAAGCTATTAGTTTTCCAGGTCATCCCCCCCCCCGCCCCCTTGCAGGGCGAGATCGCCCGCCACGCGCCCGAGTACTGAATGGCGTCGTCTTTAGGCGATGTCTCCAGGCACGTCCTCAGAGTCACGGATAAGTTCTCGGGCCCAAGGGAGGTCCTCCACCACCCTCGAGGCCCGTGGGGGGAGCTTTTACTAGGGATCAGGCAGCCGTCAATCATTGGAGCAAGCTCGTTTTCGAAACGTATTTTCCCACAGAGCGCCGAAAGAAGTTGTGCGTGATTAGATGGGTGAGCAGACCGAGATTTCTACCAGTTCAGGCGGCGAGTACCGAACTCTACAGACATCTCGCATATATGCCAATGTTTCAGCACTGCCATGTTCTTGAGCGTCCGTGCCGCTCCCGTCGCAGTCGTCCCACTGGCACGCCCCCGCATTCATGCGCGAGCAAAGTGGGCAACAGTAGCGCCAAACGTCGCGCATTGCTGCTTGGTAACCAAAAAGGCCTCGAGACCACAACGAGCTGAATTCTGCACCAGATATAGAACAATAGCACGAGTGAACTTCCAAGGGAGCGACACGGAGCAGAAGTCGCCCAGGGGATACAACGCCGAGCGTACAGCCTGGCGGCGTCGGGCCACCTCCTGACTATAAGCCTGGGGCATAGTATATGGGGGCCTGAATACTCACCTCTTCACTAAGAATGACCGAGATACAAGATTGTCCAGGCCCACGAAGCCACCTCCGACACGCCATAGCTCCTTCCTCCTCCAGCCATGCCGCTAGCTCATGTTCCCCTCGATGTTGTTGGTATCCGTGCTCCTGGAAGCGCGAGTCGAGTAGATCCTCGGATTGACGGAACGAGGAGAGGAAGAGGCCTATGGGCCATGGGGTGTCCCTTTGCGGGACAAGGGTGTAGTGGTACAGATCGCCCGCGTACTTAAACAGGTTGAGGTCGTCTTCCTGATCATTCCACTCATCACGTAGGAGATTGACCGATGGGACGATTTTGCGCGAGGACCCCGTCCGCTGTTGCGCAGGCCGCTGAAACGCAGTAGAGAAGGCAGCCAACATGAACGGATCCCCCAATCACGCCTCTCACCAATGTTTTGACCGCTACATCCTCTTCACCACTAGGTAGCAAGACGATGGTGTCTCGATAGCGTTTTTTTTGCAGAGCGCGACATTCTCAACTGAAACATGAGTAGACAACGTAGTATCCATCGGAGTCCAGGACGTGCTGCCGAAGGCGTTTCGTCACGTTGACTCCGCCATTTTTCGACATCGATCGGGGTCGCATTCATAACCCCCTCCCTTCCAGGAAGCTGCCAAACATCTAGCCGTTCTTGTTTGGAAATCGGAGAGGCTCCAAACCGTCGGCCATCACCTTTTTTATGAAGAAAAACGGCAGCGAGCGGCCCTCCTAGCCCAGTCCGTGGCCTCCGGAAGATGGCGACGGTTCCACGCTTCGCTGGGTGCCTGGACGAACGAATCGCGATCCGTTCGTTGGTGTCTCTGGCGGAGCAGCCGGGATCGCTGAGGACTAGACTTGAGTTCGGCCTCGACGGCCGGAGGAGGAGGAGGAGGAGGAGGAGGAGGAGGGGGAGGAGGAGGAGGAGGAGGAGGGGGAGGAGGAGGAGGAGGAGGAGGAGGAGGAGGAGGAGGAGGAGGAGGAGGACGAGAATCGCTGAGAACCAGACTCGAGCTCGGCCTCGACGGCCAGCAGGTCCTCCACGTGCGCCCGAGAGGCTCTTAGCTCCACGCTCTTCTCAGGGAACTCGCGGCGCAAATTAGCCCAGTGAAAATAGTCATGACTTGGCATCGCTCGGACGTGTGCATTCTTCCTTCGGCGAGGACCATCGAGGAGCATTTTTGATGATTTGGCGAAAAACCACGCACGAAACCGAAACAAGCACAGGGAATGGACGTCCGAGCGATGGCCAGGTCATGGGGCAAGGCCGTGTCTGCACAGTATAACTCCGAGCCCACTTCGGCGAGACACCGTTCGAGGAGCTCGAAAGAGTGATCTGGGGCATCCTGACCGTACACACGAATCCTGCCCTCCCCCCTCTCCTTCAACCACCGCTCCACTCCCTCGACGAAGTCAATGCGTTGCGTGCCGAGCTTGAGCGCAGACGTGAGAGAAGAGGTGCTCCATTTCACTCCAGGTACTGCCGAGCACTCTTGAGGACCTCTAGGGTGTGACAATTCGAGGTATAGTGGGATATGATCACGAGGGGGGCGACCTGTCTGAGCTTGTAGTTGGGCGCCCACGCGCCGTAAAGTGTGATATCTGACCAATCGAGAGCACCAGCCCTGCGGGATCAACAACAAATCGATCAAGCTCGATGGTCCACAAGGTCCTTCTTTTCCGCAGAAGGCAGGCTCCATCGGAACGTCTTTGCTGTCATGAGGTAGTGCTGCTCCAAGACTCTACATGCCATCTCACCCGCCCCGTTCCGTTTCCTCTCTCTTGTCCTCGACTGTCTTACCGTCTCGCTCACGTGTTCCTCCCACTGCCCCTCCATCTTCCGAAATCCCCATCCGTCATTAAGATCAGCGAAGAAGATAGGCAGGCACCTAACCGCCATCATTGTGTCATTCTGGCGTCCGTCTGGGTATATTCGGGTCCCGAACACTTGCTGCGAGGCTGGGGAGGAACGTACATGACTCCTACACATACGTCCACGATATTGTGTCTGACTCTGGCTGCGAGGCATCGTCTCCAGAGCTCTGGGGGGCTGGACACAACTCATCGCACATGGAAGCCTCGATAACCACGACCCAAGATGATAGATACTCCCGCACTTCGACTTGTATACGATCCTAACTGTTCTGCTGCTTCTAAAATAATTCTGCCCTCCCTCCTCCTCTGGAGAACGTGCGCCGACTCCCTCCAAACATTCTGCGTGTCTGCTAAGAGTACGAAGTCAATATTATTGGTGCAGCTGGCGATCTCCACGAGGCGGCTGCCAGTACTCCACATAGGATTCCATCTGAGCACCACCACTCTCAGCTTCGACATGGTCGGCGGTCACCCCATCATCTTCAAGAGACG